AGCCGGCAGCCGCTCGGATCGGGGGCAGCGGATTGGCCTACGGACTCCGGGGGGCTGTGCATTCACCAGGACTTAGGCAGGAGCCCGTTATTCGAAGCGGTGATGAAACACGTGGAGTACCCTTCCCCGAGGCGGTGACAGTTAGAAGTGGGCAGACCGGATTCCCTGAGGTTGCCCGTAATTTCATTTTGTGGTTTAAAACGTTGCAAGTGGCCCTAACTCAGCGGTTCTCAACCTGTGGGTCGCGACCCCTTTGGCGGTCGAACGACCCTTTCACAGGGGTCGCCTAAGGCCATCCTGCATATCAGATATTTACATGACGATTCATAACAGTAGCAACATTATAGTTATGAAGTAGCAACGAAAATAATTTTATGGTTGGGTCACAACATGAGGAACTGTATTTAAAGGGCCAGAAGGTTGAGAACCACTGCAACCGGTTTGGCTCAGTGGATAGAGCGTCCGCTTGCGGACTGAAGGGTCCCGGGTTCGGTGCCCATCAGGGGCATGTACCTTGGTTGGGGGGACATCCCCAGTGGGGGGCAGGAGGTGGCTGAGGGATGTTTCTAACTCTCTATCCCTCTCTCTTCCTTTCTGTAAAAAAAAAAAAAATCAATAAAATATATTTTAAAAACTAAAACATTGGAAGTGGACGTCCCTGGTAGTCCCTTGCCCTTCATGTGGCTACTGCTTACAGCCTTCCAACTCTTTCTTCAAATGTCAGCTCTTCACAGGGGTGTTCCTTGAAACCACGCATTTAGAAATTGCAACGCATCCAATCCCGTATTTCTCTATTTACTGTTCATCGTCTAAACGACTGTATCTTTTTTTTAATATATTTTATTGATTTATTACAGAGAGGAAGGGAGAGGGAGAGAGAGTTAGAAACATCGATGAGAGAGACACATCGATCGGCTGCCTCCTGCACACCCCCACTGGTTATGTGCCCACACGCAAGGCACATGCTCTCGACCAGAATCGAACCTGGGACCCTTGAGTCCCCAGGCCAACGCTCTATCCACTGAGCCAAACCGGTCAGAGCTGTATCTCTCTCTCTTTTTTTTAATATTTTTATTGATTTCAGAGAGGAAGGGAGAGGGAGAGAAAGACGGAAACGTCAATGATGAGAGAGAATCATTGATTGGCTGCT